AGGGAGGCGATTCTGAACCAATTTTATTATTGGGGGGCTTTCTTCGTGATCTAAAAGGGCGCCCACGCGAGTTAGGCCGAGTCAGTCCCAAACCCACCTTTAAAAATCCTCTCTCATTGGTTGGTAACACCTGCCCCCCGTTTTCGAATAAGATTCTAGAGAGAGCAAACTCATAAATGTCTCGGGTCTCTCCCGAAACCCGAGACGCATGCCGCCCTATTCTCCAATATCTTGAGGGCAACATCGAGGCACCTAACCAATAAAGAGAGAAGGAGAAGGGACCGACGGCTTAGCCTGGTCCGACTGAGAGAGTGATAGAGATAGAAAGAGAGAAGGAGAGGAGATCGGCAGCTTAGCCATCGATCCGACAGAGAAAGAGAGAGGGAAAGAGAGAGAAAGAGAGAAGGAGAGGGAACCGGTAGCTCCAAATGGGAGAGTGAGAGAGAGAAAGAGAGAAAAAGGAGAAGAAGAGGAGAGAGAAAGAGACGGAAGGAGAGAAGGAGAGAGGACCGGTGGCTTAGCCGCCGCTCCGACTGAGAGAGTGAAGGACAGAGAGAGAAAGAGAGTGAAAGAGAGAGAAAGAGGAAAAGGAATTGAGAGAGAAAGAAGGAAAGAGAGTGTAAGTGGTTACCTAATGTGACCTCGAGTCAGACCGCGGGCCAGGTTGAAAGTGAGGAGTTCCAAGTTGAGAGTAGGGAATTCTAAGTTGGAAGTGGGAAGTTTTAAGGGCAGTCCCCTATGAGGAAAGTTTTCTCTCTCCTCTTTTTGGGGGTAAAGGGGGGTAGAGTAAAAATGTTACAAACCAAGGGAAGCTCAAACTATTTCATTAATTTTTTTGCTCATGCTTTGAAATTACATCAAGCTTTTTTTTACAAATGATCATGTGATGCTTAGATAACATCCCCTTGAACAAGGGTGGATGCTCAAAACTAAACCTAATTGCTAAAATTATATTTTTCATGATTCAAAATTAAATCCCGTTTTTGGGGAAAATTGACCATTTTTCCCTACCCACAATCTTCGAAATGGCGAGATGGTCCCCAAAAAGGTACCGTTGGCTATGGTGATCATTCGGGGCTCATTTCAGGTCGTTCCGGTAACCTTCCAACGAAAATAATCGGTGATGTGATCGTTTTGACATATCACTTTATCTTTGAATTGAAGCTTTGAACCTTTCTTGAAATCCAATGAAAGATGGGAAACGCAATCTTGAGTCCTAGATCTTTTCTATTTCTTGATTTGGTCGCCAGATCGCCACTTTCCGAATTGGGAAAGTCACCAGAATATGGAATCTAGTTGCCAAAAAAATTCCCTTTTTTTCATCCTCAAAATATTGCACTTACGTTCTTTTATCACATGCAATGTTCACTTTGAATCGAAGCCCTCGACGTCACGGTCGCAACAGACCCGTTTTCAAGTCGATCCGAGGTTCTGATATGACTATTTGATTGAGGGGGTTTCTTTCATGCAAAAATCTTCAAAACATGAGTTTTCTTGAGTAATTTCTCTCTAAGATTTCTTCCTTCTCAGGCCGTGTCATAGGTCCTCCCATATATCAAAATGTGCGTGTTGACGAGATGAAGATCCTCCTGAAATTTGGGCTTGATTGTGCTTAAAATGGAGAAGTTACAGCCTTTGGAAGATGATCCCAAAATCATAAGGCACAGTTTCCATTTAGTTCACCAAGGGTGCACCAAAATAGTGTATAACCCACCCTTTTTGGGTAGTTGGCCCCAGAGTGGTCCAAAAGTGTCTGAATGAGCTGAAATTTGATATCTTCGGGGTTTTTGGACTTTCTAAATTCAACAGAAGCAATCTGGTACTCATCTGAGACCCCGATAATAGGCCTATAGTTAGGAGGCACTTTTTCAGCATGCCAAGAGCCAAATTCGAAAACTGGTTTTTGGTATGATCCACCTTAACTTTGTCGGATTGTGACGAAACTTGACGGGTATTCTTAGGGAATCAAATGCTACCCCCATATGTGTTTTGAGACCAATCCGTCAACCTTCAAAATTCACCCCAAATCAAGATTTATTTTATCAGTGCTTCCATAGTCCGCAGGTGTTTTGGTACCCACGGGCCTAAGTCGCGACTCGCTTCTTTCTTATTTGTACCGGGGATACAAGTGTCAAAAAATACCCTATAACAATGGTAAGCACCTTTCTCTCTTTCTTAAATACTATTTTCTTTATATTAAAATAGGGGCATACTCTCTCTCTCCCCTTCCTAAATAGGTGCATAATCTTTCTTTCAAACATGAGAATATTTCCTATATTCTCTATAGAATTCGGACCCCATCTTATTTTAGCAGCACATTTCCATCCCTTAATTATGGCCTAAGATTGTAGTATAGATAAATAGTCTCATAGCATACAATCCCTATTAAAATACACGTAACATTTCAACTTTTGACATTGGGTGAGATTCGCATAAAGGCCATTCCTTGTATTATAGAAGTACTGTGCACCTCTAAAATCCATTTGGAGATGTAGTTTCAGCGTCGGAAATCTTATGATTTCTTCAAAATATTTATTTTCTCTCACTTATGAAATTTAAAATGTAAAAAATGGTAGAGATAGGGCAGATATATAAATACTTTCAAATATTAAAAAATAGAGGGTCTATATAACTTGTTTCAAGATAAATTATTTTTGTGACTTCAATTCCCTCTTTTTCTTCTTTTTTTATCTGCACAACTCGAGGTCGAGATGATCAATTGGAGGGTTCTTCGACATTGAAACATTGTTTTGTAGAAGATTTTGATGTGCTTCTTAGATGATCAATATAAAGTTGCAAACTTATCTAAACTTGTTTCATTACTACTTTACCCACATATTAAATTTCAAAGTACCAATCAAAATACATATGACCATAAGTTAGAATAGTTGAAAAACAGTAACCTTTTAGAAAATGTTTCCTTAAATTTGCTCTCTGTGTGATGTTTACATTTGTATTCTTCCGAAATAATTTACTGTATTCAATCGTTATATAAAATTAGAAGGAACCACCCTTAGATGTTCAGCTAGAAAAATATTCAAGGATCTCTCTCCTTGATTTTCTCGCCATCTCCTTCTCACACGTACTTCTCTCTTCCTTAAAACTATGCATTTCTTTTATTTTCTTTTCATTTTTTTTATTTATCTCTCTCCCCGTGTACTTTCTTTCTAAATATCCTCTCCATGTTTTTCTCTCCCTTAAAGGCAGGACTAGGCACTTTGGGTTTCTCTTTTTATCTCACTCTCCCCACGTACTTTCTCTCTCAATGTCCTCCCCATGTCTCTCTTCTTTAAAGATAGCATTAGTGCTCTGGCATTCTGTCTCTCTCTCAACCTTTTAAAAATGGAAAGCTATCTAACTTCACTATTCTCTCCCTCTCTCCTCTTAAATATGGTAAGCATCTTTTATCTCTTTCTTAAATATTATTTTTTTGTATTAAAATAGGTGCATACTCTCTCTCCCCCCCTAAATATGGTAAGCATATTTCTCATGTTTTTAAATATTGTATTTTTATATTAAAATAGGTGCATACTCTCTCTCTCTCCCTCTTAAATAGGTGCATAATCTATCTCTCAAATATGATAATGTATTCTACAATCTCTATAGAATTAGGGGCCCTTTTTTTTTTCACGACATGTATCTACCCCTTAACTTTGGCTTAATAGTATAAGTATAGATAAATCGTCTCGTAGCATATAATCCCTATTAAAATACAAACAACATATCTAGCGTCGAAAATCTCATGATTTTTTCAAAATCTTTCTTTTCTCTAACTTATGAAATTTAAAATTTTAAAAATATTACAATGGGGGCAGGTATATATATACTTGAAAATCTTAAGAAATAGAGGGTCCATATAACGTGTAACAAGAAGCACTATTTTATGACTTGAATTCCTTTTCTATTTTTTTTCCATGTCCACGCAGGTTAAGGTCAATATGATCAATTGGAGGGTTCATCGAAGTTGAAACGTTATCTTATAGAGGATTTTGATGTGCATCTTAGATCAAGAGTATAAACTTGCAACCTCATATAAACTTTTTTCCTTACTACTTTATCCACATATTTTGATTTAATATCAAAGTACCCATCACAATACACATGACTATAAGTTGGAACGGTTGAAAACTGTAAACTGTTAAATCCAGTTATAAATATGAGATAGAACTCAACCTTTTTCTGTAAAACTTCCAAATTAGCTTTGCCAAAAATAATATTTCTTGGGATTGCATACTATGAGAACATTTATCTTTGATGTAAGGAAGTCATAATTAATACTGGTCATTAGATGTTAAATTGGAGGATTAAGATGGGCCAGGAAGTTCAATATTTTTTTTTTTTTGAACTTTATATCTAATCAATGATACATTCGCAACCACCTGGTTTGAAATTTGACAAACAAGAATTATTATACTTCAAAGAAAACGGCCTATTTATGTACTTTTCTATATTCATGAACAATATAGAACATTTGAATATGGGTGTGGTTTCCATAAGGTTGCAACTTTAAACAAACCATTTAAAGCACACCTCAAATGTTATCATAACATATAATTTTGATGTAAAATATTCTTAAGATTATCACAAAATCTATTTTTAAATCTAATTATAAAATTTTAAAGTCCAAAAATGATTAAAATCAAGTAGATCTGTAAACATATGAAACTCTTGAAAATAGACGGTCTAGATAATATGTTGTAAGATGCACCATTTCTAAAACTCAAAATTCTTTTTTTTCCATGATCATGCATCTCAATGTCGAGATGATCAATTAAAGGGTTTTTCAACATTAAAAAACTATTTACTAAATTTTTTTAGATGCATCCGTAGTTCTACATTTTAAGGTTGCAACCTTATATAAACTTTTCCCTTTAAATATAAGCCTCCATGTGTACAGGAGGCATTCACTTAAATATTTACCCTCCGCTGTCCAAATAGCCTGAACCACCTAGCAGTCCGTATATATATATATATCTATATATATATATATAACCAACGGCCTAGATATCCCCCAAGAGCATCCAGCAGCTACTGATAGATCGCTGCGATCTGAGCTGCTCCTCGGTGAGAAAGCAGCCATGGAAGCCATAGGGCACACGCTGGGGCAACGTAACTGAGGCCACGATCTCCAGATCGGACGACGCTGCGTCCATGACCACGAAGCCAGCCTCACCAGTGGCCTCCTCATGCAAAAACGCCACTACATAACCATCGTCCTCACTCTCACTCTCGCTCTTGGCTACAAACGCGGCCTCACTCCCAAACCAGCCCTCCTCATAAACTCTCTGAGCCACAACGCATTCGCCCTTTCCTTCTCTCTCTAAATCGAGCTTCACAACGCCCGTGCTCTTAGGCATCAGTCCGCCGATCGACACATACACGAATCGATTCTTTCGAGCCCCAAAACATCGGTTTATGATTCCGAACTCGAGATTCATGGCGGACAGAGGCTTCCGAGAAACTGCACCAGTTTTCAGATCGAGCCTCATGATCTCGATGGAGGAGTGGGAGAGATGCATGCACTCCAGTGCGTGTTCGGGCGGAAATGTGTTTGGTGCGACGATCGTGACTGCGTCAGGACCTTCCTCCCAGGCATTCACAAAGTGGAAGAAGTTGCATCCAGGCAAGTTGAACCACCGCACGTCGCCGCTAGAAGAATCGCGGGGCATGAGGCCGAGTCGCGGCACTTTGCTGGCGTTTGATGCGGCTGGCGCCCCCCCTGTCATGAACCCCGCTGGGTCGATCGTGATTTGGTTCTCATGAAAAATCGCATACTTCTCTGTTATTATGAAATCGTGCATAAATGTGGCGACAGCACTGAGAACACAGGCACGTCGGGAAATTTTGAGCCATTTTTGTCGAATCGAAAGTAGGTCAGAAATGGAGGAACGGGAGCATAACGAAAGGCGAAGGTCTCTCTGGTTTTGGGATCGGTTTTCGGATGAGCGGTCATGCCAATAACCAGTCGGCCTTCAAAGTTTTCGCAGCCTAGGTTTCGATATCTCCCTGATCAGTGACCCTTATTGCATAAGGCAAGTCAGACTCAACCAACGCATACAGTGTGCCACCAAAGAAGGCGAAGCTCGTGTTTGCAACGCCTGCGCCTTGTGTATGGTTGATCTCCCCTGCAAGCACCAAGCACAGCGCCACGCGCAAGCCCTGAGATTCCGGTTATGGATGCGAAAAGATTTGGGAAAACAGGAGCACAGGCCTTGCGCTCGAGCTCATATTTGTATGTTTTGACGAATCGGGCCATTGTATGTTTTGATGGGTGGACACATGTCGCAAAAATAAAAAATGACCCTAATTGCATAGAGGCTAGAGGAGTATTCCTACATTTAAGGAAAGAGACACATAGAGAACAGCCACATACTGATTTTAGGGAAGAGAGAGAAAGAGAGTGTGTGTGAGTACACATCCACTCACTAATATTGGACTCAATGAGTAAATCAGGTCGGGTCCAAATATTGGTGGACTCGACCTATTATTCTAATATGTTTTAATTTTTTATATATAAATTAATAAAGGTTAGATGTACTAAGATGTATACTTTTTTAAGTTTTTAAAAATTGTAATCCACACCACACTTTTA